TTGTGTCTCCTGATACCACAAACCTAAATTAAATGTTCACTGAGTGAAATCTGCTTGATGCTTGAGTGCTTTTAACCACTCTGGATGYTGAACAGAGAAAACTGAGTGATAAACCAGGAACCTCAGCTGCTACTTCAGTGATAAATCTACTCTGAATGTTCATTTTAAACTACTGCAAGGATTATAACCTGAAGTCCTTTACATTCAAATAATGCCTGATGTACATTATTACTTCAGTAAAARACCCAATTTTCAAACAAAACAAGCTTTTTTTCACTCAAGTCTCCTTCAACATATCATATATGAACTTATMGAGATGCTTGGAGGTAAAAGGTCATTGAAAAACAAGTTGTGTAACGTTATCCACAATTTCAAATTCTATCAYTTTTTCAGAAGCTGGATTGTGGTAAGCAACATTATAATTGGAAATAAATGCAAATAACTGAATGAATTTTTTTATACATTTGTGGGCACTCATAAATAAAACAAGATTCATGTCAGCAATGAATTAACCCTAAATAAAATATTTTTTTTTTATTTACATGTTGGTCACTGAGTGTTCACAACAGTTCAAAACAGGTTTTTAGGTGTGTGGTATTCATTCATGTCATTTTCCAAGAAATTTAGGCCACATAACTAAGTTTTAGTTCTGGCTCAAAAATTGATYCAGTTGCTAAGGAATTGGCCTTTGTATGACATTTATACATTATTCTTATTATTGTTTTTCTTGTTTTCATTTCAAACCACTGCATTTCCCAGAATTTGTGCACCTCTGGGTCCCTGAACAYGCTGCACATCATTTTAGATTGCAGCCATTACCGTCGGTAAAAGGAYGGGTAGTAACATTAATGTTTTGGTATTATGATTGCTCTTGTCAGACTACAATTATCATTATTACGCCTGTTTATTTTTTGTCAGCCTTGCATGCGCTTACATTTCCGCAGGTAATCACTTGCAGATGGCTTGAACTCCCCTCTCATCCCGCCCACACGGATGAGCTTGTGTTTGTCTTCTAAGAAACTGCCTGGAATTTGCATCCAGATGAAGGTAAAACTTGATTCCCCAACATTAAACAATTGTGGATGTGAAAAGTCTACACAGCTGTCTAGGTTGAGAGACATTTTTGTTTGTTTATATTGCACTCCTGCAGAGTTGACACGTGTTTTTAAGAAGTTGCATTGTGGTACTGTTTGGATAGAAATTATGCTACTAGGCGGAAACATCCATCCATCCATTTTCTTCCGCCTATCCGGGGTCGGGTCGCGGGGGCAGCAGCTTCAGAAGGGAGGCCCAGACCTCCCTCTCCCCAGCCACTTCTTCCAGCTCCTCCGGGGGAACTCCAAGGYGTTCCCAGGCCAGCCGAGAGACATAGTCCCTCCAGCGTGTCCTGGGTCTTCCTCGGGGCCTCCTCCCGGTGGGACGTGCCCGGAATACCTCACCAGGGAGGCGTCCAGGAGGCATCCTTACCAGATGCCCGAGCCACCTCAACTGGCTCCTCTCGACGTGGAGGAGCAGCGGCTCTACTCTGAGTCCCTCCCGTATGACTGAGCTTCTCACCCTATCTCTAAGGGAGAGCCCAGCCACCCTGCGGAGGAAACCCATTTCGGCCGCTTGTATCCGAGACCTCGTTCTTTCAGTCATGACCCAAAGCTCATGACCATAGATGAGGGTAGGAACGTAGATYGACCGGTAAATCGAGAGCTTCGCTTTCTGACTCAGCTCTCTCTTCACCACGACGGACCGGTACAGCGCCCGCTTTACAGCAGACGCTGCGCCAATCCGCCTGTCGATCTCCCGCTCCGTTCTTCCCCCAGTCGTGAACAAGATCCCCAGATACTTAAACTCCTCCACTTGAGACAGGGCGACCCCCCTGACCCGGAGAAGGCACTCTGCCCTTTTCCGGCTCAAGACCATGGCCTCGGATTTGGAGGCACTGAGCCTCATCCTAGCCGCTTCGCACTCGGCTGCGAACCGCTGCAGATCACGTTCCGATGAAGCCAACAGGACCACATCATCCGCAAAAAGCAGAGATGCGATCCTAAGGCCACCAAAACGGATCCCCTCAACACCTCGGCTGCGCCTAGAAATTCTGTCCATGAAGGTAATGAACAGAATCGGTGACAAAGGGCAGCCTTGGCGGAGTCCAACTCTCACCGGAAACGAGCCTGACTTACTGCCGGCAATGCGGACCAGACTCTGACACCGGTCATACAAGGACCTGACAGCCCGTATCAAATGGCCCTGTACCCCATACTCTCGGAGAACCCCCCACAAGGCCCCCCTTGGGACATGGTCTAACGCCTTTTCCAAGTCCACAAAACACATGTAGACCGGTTGGGCGAACTCCCATGCACCCTCCAGGACCCTGCTGAAGGTGTAGAGCTGGTCCAGTGTTCCACGACCAGGACAAAAACCACACTGCTCTTCCTGAATCYGAGGTTCGACTATCCGACGGACCCTCCTCTCCAGGACCCCTGAATAGACCTTACCAGGGAGGCTTAAGAGTGTGRCCCCCCTGTAATTGGAGCACACATAGGCGGAAACATTCTGATCTAAATTGTTACTGTGCATTCTGTGCTGTTCTGTCCTGAAACCACCCTGCTGTCGATAAACTACCTTGGACTAAATATGTGTTGCTTAGTATGTAGAAAAATCTATGGTAGTTTGGTAAACAGAAACTTACCCCGACACTGACTAAAACATTTAGATTTTTGTCAAATTTTACAGAAAAAACTCATTCAATAATAATTTTATTTTGTTAAATGAAGTCACTTATTACTGCTTTTTTTCTAGAATATTCATGTGTTCTTCAGTAAAGACAACAGAGAGTAGTTACACAACTGACAACAATAAAGAAAAATGAAGTCCTGAGCAAGTGATTGCTTCCCATTGAATTTTTTTTCAGCCACACAAAATAAAATATTTTACTACATCTGATAAAAATCTGCAAAACACAACATTTGCTGTTTCAGATAAACATGTAGTTGGTTATTAGGAAAAAAAGGGGACAAAACAGACCCACAAGGAGCTAAAAAATCCCAAACATGCATCTACGGACACACTCCAAAGTCAGACAAGAATCACCAATTAAAATGACATACATGCATTAAGCAGTGGGAGGAAACTGGAGCACCCGGGAAAAAAAACACATTTATGAGAACATACCAACATAAACTGCAGAGCTTCTAGCTACAGTACCATCCACCACACCACAACTTATCGTTTTAATTTAGTTTAGGAGAATTAAATGCTAAACATAAAGAGTAAAGKAATGTATTACACCAATTCACATAGGGATTAAACAGTTAGTTGATACTTTATCAGTTTAATCACTGCACATGGAAAAGTGCAGTTTGCACAAAATACATTCCTAACAGAGGAAACCTCGGAAAGCATTTTATTCAGTTAAATGCACAATAATGTTAAGTGCATTTGTAATAAAAAGCATATACTACCAGGTGGGTAGTAGCTAAATATAGAAGGAGATTTATTGGAGTTCCAAGTAGGATGCAAAAGCCATGATGATGTTATTGATAACAGGAAGTGGTTCAATCCCTGCAACCACTTCAGTGCATCTATCAACTGAATCCAGCCATGACGCTGATGTACGACATCAGTGGAGCAGCAGGGACCACAAAATATGAGATAAAAACTTTCTTATTTCTTTAAATGTACATTTCTTTCACACACTCCAGTCTGTTTAGCACTGTAAAAACACATTCCCCTCATATAACTACTTTTAATATGACTTAATTTGATTGATAATTTACAGTTTTCTTACTTTTAGTTTTAGTTTTTATATTTAATTATACATTTTATGTGGCAAATGTTCACTCCATAAATAATTTGTTTTGGTTGGAGCCCTAATAAATTCTTAATTCATATCAGCTCGTGGTAAATTAAAGTCTACAAGATTCACAGTTGTAACATGTGTGCATTTCATATTTAGGACAGTCTTCAAAGCTCGTGTGTAGTTCCATATTTATTCCTTAAAATGTATTTTCGGACAGGGAAGGTAACCTCCAAGACTTCTATACATGGCTAATTCAAAGGTCCATAAATCAAAGTGATTCTTTGTACAATTTCATTTCTGCCGTGCTTTTAAAGTGGCTAGAATAAAGATCGAAATTATCATTTCGTTTCCATTTATATCGAAAGCCAACATCAGATAACATCTGACTTCATTATTTGAAGCCCCTAACATGAGTATTAGAAAATGGCTAGGAACTGCAGACAAGTCAGATCATGTCGTTTTCTGAGTACGAGAGGTTYTCTCGCGCTTAACTCACCAAATGTTGAGGGGAGGTGAAGGGTCTCGAGGTCACCTTTCAGCAGAGTGCTTTTTGGTGTCCATGCTATCAACTGGGGGTGCACAATTATCCTCCTCCAGACAGATCATGGTGTCTGGAAGGTAGACAGAGAGCAACAGAACAAAAGGAGAAGAAGAGGAAAAGAGAACATGTTAAAAAATAAGAGTCCAAATTAGGAAAAAGAAAAACTTATTAGCAAGCTAGTTTTTGTAGTAATTGAATCTGAAGTCAAACTCCAACATTTCAAGCATTCAACTTAAATAAAAATGTCTACTCTTTCACACCAAGTGATACATTTCTATTTTATTTTTTCAAAGCAAAGCCAAAAATCTTCAGTCTGCAACTTAGGTGTTATTTTTTTTACATCTCAGCCAGACACCTATTTTCTGCTCTCTGTAATAATCCTTGACAGCTACACCAATGTTGAAACTTTTTTTAATGCTTTATTTATGTAACATGTTTTAATCAAAGATCTACTCAAGTTATGTGGCTACTATTCTCTACTGGATAATATCTGTCAAAAGGAAGAATGGCATGTCTTCATGTCTATGGAAGTGTTCATGCCTTATATAGTCTGGGTCCAGTTGCTTGCTGCACATTGCTGGATGTAGCCAAAGGCTAAGGAAAGAGACCTTTGGAGAGCTCATTAAAACAGTCTTCAAGTCTTGAGAGAAAAAAAAATATGAATCCACTACAAAAGAATGAGCTAGTCATTAAAAATAATCAGAAATAATGGACCGGTTCCCAGACCAAAAATACATTTAATAAAAATAGAAGTTAAAATGAGTGAATAAAAAAAAAGGTGACAAAGTGGGAGATGGCCATGGTTAGAGGTAATTTTACACAAATATATAT